TATATGATAGCCAAGTGTTCTCCCATGGAACTATATCCCCAGCCCACAGTTCAGTTTTTTTGTTTGTTTTGTTTTTTGTATATAGAAGATTTTTTTCCTAGCTAAAATAATGATCTGATTTCTGTCTTAAGGTAAAGAAAACTTAGGGGATGATAAAGTAATAGCAAGTTATATCAGAGAAAAAAGAAATGCTGATTTCTGAATTCTACTGTTTGGGACTGAACACAAGTTAGTGTCTCTGTGTGTGAATCTCTAAAGAGCCATGGATAAAGGATACTTCATTATAAATGAAAATAAACCTAACATAACCAGCTAGGGGCCCAAAGTTGGAAAAGTGACATCACTCCAGCAAAACCACACCATACTTGGTAACACTAAGATGGAGGCAAAATGGGGCCTCAGAAGAGATAAATGTCCTTTTTAAATAAATATTTATTTTTAATTATGTGCATGCATGTGGTGTATGTACATATGGGTGCAATGCCCAAAGAGGCCAGAAGAGGGCACAGGATTCCCCCAGCAGGAATCAGAAGCAGTTGTGAGATGCCAGGTGGATGCTGAGAAGTGAATTTTGGTCCTTTACGAGAACAGCAAGTGCTCTTAACCACCGAGCCATCTCTGCAGCCTGGAAATCAATATTCTTAACAAGCAAGTATGAATCAAGTCAGTGGGAGGTCTGTTTAAGCAGTTTTCATTTTTACAACCAAGTTTTCAGCATTCTGAAAGTCCTTCACGGCTCAAAACGTGCAACAATAACAAAACATCCTGAGGGGCACACAGCTCCTCCATGGGAATTTCTGTTGATTAAAATAAATAAGACACAAACGCGTTAGCTGTGAACATGTTAAAAAGTCAAGAATGTGATTTGCCTTTTGTTGTTGTTGTGTGTACAGTTTGGGCTGGACTAGAAACTGTGTGTTTACCTAACAATTCAGACGTCACCAATTCCACAGATACCTGCTGGATACCCACTGAGGTGACTGCACCAGGTGCCTGCAGATCCCCAGGGAGCAGACAAAGAGGTGACGGACAGGGAGCACAGACACGGTGCACAAGGAAAAGACACTTCAGGCGACAAGTGTGGTGGCTAAAATGGACACCAGGGTGCGGAGGGGCATCAGGGACGCCGTGGTGGTGAGGGAGGGCATGCAGATTTTACAAGGGTGGCCAGGGTGTGCCGCCTTAGGAGGGCGACACACGAACAGAGACTTGTTAGGGTTTGTTTTTGTTTTTGTTTGTTTTGGTTTTACTGCTTTCTTTTTAATTATCTATATATGTGTATGTCTCTCAATCTGAATGATCACATTGGCCTTCAAGTAGTGAACTTCTGCTTCAGCCTCCCAAGAGCTAGGATTATAGTCTGGGCCTGGCACATCATGAGCACTTTGTTAGTAGTTACTGCATGGTGCCAGGTGCACCATTAATCCTGCTCAGGAGGCAGAGGCAGGCAGATGTTTGAGTTTGAGACCAGCCTGATCCACAGAGAGAGTGCCAGGACAGCCAGGGCTATGTAGTGAGACTCTGTCTTAAAATGAACTATTGCCGGGCGGTGGTGGCGCACGCCTTTAATCCCAGCACTCGGGAGGCAGAGCCAGGTGGATCTCTGTGAGTTCGAGGCCAGCCTGGGCTACCAAGTGAGTTCCAGGAGAGGCGCAAAGCTACACAGAGAAACCCTGTCTCGAAAAACCAAAAAAAAAAAAAAAAAAAAAGAACTATTAATTAATCAACTAATTAATTAATTTCACTGAATGAATGATGGCTAAAGTTTAATTTATATGGTCTAATTCTTTTCTTCTGACAGTATTTATACGTTTTAGGGGCAAATAAAAGTACTAACATTTGAGTGCACAGAACTGTGACTGAGTGTGAGTGAGCTATGGGGCCATCAGAGACTGTGCACACTTGGACCACAGGAAGGAAAATCCAGGAAATGGGAAGCTACAGGAAATTTGCTTCCCCACCCCCATTCAGACTGTCCCAGATAAACGCGTATCTTAGTCTACCAGGGGCACAGAGTCGAGTAACGTGGTTGAATGAGGCTGAGAGGGAGGTGGGATGAGGTTGGACAAAATGACCTTTCATCCATGAGTTTAGCAAGGGTGACAGATGCTAAGTGCGATTAAAGTAACACAAAGGTCAACTCAGGGGAGAGGAGGGTCTGTTCTTGTCTCACATCCACAGCTTCCTAACTGTGTGGTCTAGCAAAAGTACATCAAATACCCAGCATCCTGGTTTCTCACCTGAAGTTATCGTATCTGAGACCCCATGAGATTCCTTCACGAGCTGAGTGAGATTCTCCACAGGACAGTTGTCAAAGCACTCCGTTGCACACATAAATGTATTCTCACTGTTATCTGACAACCCTAAGTAAATCTGTTTGCTATTTAGTGAGGAATATGCTGTAAATTCTGACCCATAACTCAAGGGTGGGGATAAAAGGGAAGCCCAAAATTCAGAGGACAGAATTTTGTCAAATGAGCTCATACTCCAGGTGAAGACATTTGGATCTGCAAGTGACAAAGAACTGGACAAACTCCCTTGTGTCCCCAGCCACACCCAGCTAGTTCACGTGGATCTCAAGTATGGGCTGTGCTATGGACAGTCAGTTACAAACCCCAGCACTAGAGCAAGTCCTGGCAGCTGCTGTCCATCACTACCCACCTGTGCAGGAAGGGTTTCCCAGAAGCCTTTTCTTCTGTTGGCCTTCACTAGCTATCATTCTTTGGAAGGACAGTAAGACAAACTGTAATGGCTAGAAATATCTTGGAATCATCTGTGAATGAATCATCATCTTCAGATAAAGATTTAAGATAACGCTGAGGAAAGGCAGAGAGTCAAAGTGGGGAATGGAGAGGAGTCAGGAAAGGAGAAGACCCAGCTCTCAGGAAACAGAAACACATTTCCCTCCATGAACGAGTGAAGGAAGCTTCAAAATAAAACAAAGACTAGAGGCCAGAGAGACGGTTCACAGGTCAGGAGCATGTCCTGCTCTTGCAGAGGACTTGGTTTGGTTCTCAGCACCCACACTGTAGCTCACAACCATCTGTACCTCAGTTCCAGCGAGCCCAATGTCCACTTCTGTCATCTATGGGTACCTACACACATGCGTGTATTCATACACAAACACATAAATACAACTTTTTAAAATTAAATGCCAGACTAAAACTCTGAAAAATAACCTAACCCAACAACTACTAAAAGGAGTGGATTCTAGCCATGTTTGATGTCTGACTAGGGACAACCTGAATTTAATCCAAAGAAAGGTTTCATGGTTGTGGTTATAGAAGAAATACTTGAAGCTTATTTGGTTGTATTTTCTCAGTGAAGGAAGACTTATGAAATGGAAAGTGTTTGCTTTAGGCAAGATCCATACTGCAGAAATGTGAGGGACAAGGAGCAACGATGGGCTCCCACTGTCCACAGAAAGGGACATGAACTGGTAGACTAGAAAGGTGGCTCTTTTAGCAGAGATATTTTCCATCTTAGCTGTAAAGACGGATGGCCATGGAACCATTCCAATGACTTCAGGATCAGAGAGCAGCCTCATTGGCAGTGGTTCCCAGTGAGATTCCCTACAAAGGACAAGCTGTTCGCCAAGGGCCATGACTGTCTAGAGCAGTGGTTCTCAACCTTCCTAATGCTGTGGCCCTTTAACACAGTTCCTCATGTTGTGGTGAAGCCCAACAATAAAACTATTCCATTGCTACTTCCTAACTGTAACTTGGCTATCATTATGAATTGTAATGTAAATATTTTTGGAGATAGTTTACCAAAGGGGTTGCCCCCCACAGGTTGAGAACCACTGATCAAGACCCAAGGAGACTTTGTCAAGACACATCAATATGTTTGCACCTGATTACCCAGCACCATCATGCAAATTTCATTCTTTACTGTCACCAGTATGGAACTGTCTGGGCATACTGAAACATATGGCTCTAGAAAGTGAGGACCAGGCTTTGGCAGGACCCTGAGGTAGAGCAGATCCAACCATTATTAGGCCTCCCGAGTGTCATTTTTAACCTTATTCTTTGTCCATCTAGTTATTTGTTTGAAATACCGAGGGGCCAAGGAAATGACTCCGCGGTAAAGTGCTTGCTTGTCACATAAGAACGAGGACCTGGGTTCAGATCCCCAGCACTCCTGTGAAAAGCCAGGCAGAGCAGTGCACGCTTTCAGCCCCGCCACTGAGAGGGAAGCAGGCAGTTCCTAGGTGCTCACTGGCCAGCCTTTCTTGATGAAGTGGTGAACTCCAGGTTCAGTCGGACACTCTATCTTAAAAAAATTAGGCAGAGAAGCCATTGAGATAGACATCTCATGTTGACGTCCAGTGACCTCTAGTTTCCACACTCTCAAGCATAGATAAGTGCATCCACACAAACACACACACATGTGAACACACACATATGTACCACACAGGCACACATGAATATTAAATAATAATAGTAGTAATAAAAGAAATATTGAACCAAGGAAAGTACATTGAAATAACAGCTAGAAAACCATCTTAATTTCCAACACCAGTGGCCACACCACCTTGAGCAGTGTCAGCCTATACAACCCTTGGTTTATGGAAAGTGTTAAAGGATTTCTTTATGTGTTTGTGTGTATGTAGCTGCATGTTAGTATGTACACAGGTGTGTAGTTGCGCTTGGAGGCCAAAAGAGGGTGTTAGATCCCGGGGCTGGAGTTACAGGAAGTTGTGAGCTGCCATGTGTGTGCTTGGGACTGAACCCTGGTCTCTGCAAACACAGAAAGTTCTCCTAACCACTAAGCCATTTCTCCAGTCCGCACTGGACCGTCTGCATCTCTGGTTTGCTTTGAGGCTCACAATCTGAGTCCAAACAAACAGCTATTGATATGAATAATTAATGCTATCAACGTTTCACGCCCTGAAGCCAGAGTGCATGATTGATACATGGAAGCAAATTACCACCATTACCCGAGGCCTGAAGACAGATGAAAAGCCATGAGCCCGCTGACCAGAGTGTGGGAAATCTTACCTCTCGGCGACTGGTTTGGCAATGATTTCGAAAATGATCTCTTGCTTTGCGTCTTGGTCAAAAATCCTTTGAAATCTGCAATGTGAAAATGGTAATTATCTCAAAGCTGAGCCTTCAAACGCTACTGGATCAATGAATCTTGTTTTCACAAACACGTTTGTAAATGACCCCACGCTGACATCACTGGGCTTAGCTAACCTAGCACAATGTTTTCCCTGTCATCCCCTCACACTGTGTCATTGTGCTCTTGCTCACAAATGGTGAGTAAACAGTATGGCTTTGACAAGATCTGTACAACTGTCCCCCTCTGAAAGAATCACACCAGCTTTGAACCACATAATAACTGTGTGCTTTTCGCTCTCAAGAAGGACAGCGTAGCAGGCTTTCTTGGACTGCCAGCCCCTTAACCATGACATGGAGGCTTCTTGTTAGTTATAAATGCTCAGCCTTAGTTTATGCTTGCTTCTAGCTAGCTCTTATAACTTAATTTAACCTGTTTCTCTTCATCTACAGTTTGCCTCGGGTTTTTTTTTTTTTTTTTTTTTTTTTTTTTTTTTTTTTTTTTTTAACCTTTCCTTCTGTATGTCTTACTTTCCTGCTTCTTCTGTGTCTGGCTGGCTGGCCCCTGGCATCTCCCTCTCTTTCCCCCTCCTTCTCTCTCAAGCCTAGATAGTATCTCCTCCTACTTACTCTCTCTGCCCACTAGCCCCACCTATCCCTTTACTGCCTAGCTATTGGCCATTCAGCTTTTTATTAGACCAATCAGGTGCCTTAGGCAGGCAAGGTAAAACAGCAACTCATCTTTACATAGTTAAACAAATGCAGCATAAACAGGTGTAACACATCTTTGCCTAGCTGAACAAACATTCCACAACAGCACAGTCTCTGTGGCTGGTACACACACACACACACACACACACACACACACACACACACACACACACAACAGCACAGTCTCTGTGGCTGGTATCAGAGTCAAACCTCCAGAACTGCATGGGCTGGAAACCCAAGAACGGGGTGTAAAAGGCCCTTGGGCTTCCGACGTCTGCCCGGTGAGGAAAGACTGCAAGTGTGAACTGCATGATCCCTGAATGTACGGCATTTAAACTGCAGCTACTGCCCATGCATTAGATGCCTCCTTCTATGACAGTGATGCCAGCTGTGGGGCTGTTATCTCATTTTCTTCCCCATGATTCAAAAGTCAGAAAAGACTGATCTGTCCTGCAAAGCCGGGTCTTCATCAGAGCGGCGGGGACAGGAGTTCTGGGAGCTGGCAGAGTGGCTGACCCACCCTCCTTGCAGAATCACTGTTGAGTTTGGTAGAGGGTCACCAGCACAGCGGGACACTCGGGTGAGACAGTGTTCTCCTGTAGAGGGGCGAGGTGCTAACAGCAACCACCAAAACATCACAAAAGAGGATCTCCCACAGAGCACTGACTGGCCTGTTCTTATGTTTTCCATACATTTAAATCTCTCTCTCTCTCTCTCTCTCTCTCTCTCTCTCTCTCTCTCTCTCTCTCTTCTGCGTGTGTGTGTGCGCGCGCGTACGTGCGCACATACATGTGCACTTGTGCGTGCATGTGGAGGTCAAAAGACAACCTTGGTGTCTTTGCTCGGGTTTCATCCACCTTTTGTCTTAAAGAGAGGTCTCTCACTGGCCTGGAGCTCACCAAGTGGGCTTGGCTGGCTGGACACCAAGCCCAGGGGTCTCTATCTCCCTGGTCTGGGATTATGAGCATGCCATCCCATCTAGCTTTTAAAATATATGTTCTGGGGATTGAACTCAGGTTCTTGTGCTTGCAAAGTGAGCACTTTGCCGATTGAGATCTCTTCCCAGTCACTTAACATTTTTTAAAATAAAAATGGAGAGGATAGTCTTTAAAGTAAAAACTCTCAAGTGGAATTTCTGAGGGCATCTTAAGCAGCTTTCGTGGTGCCTTTGGTCCTCTGGCTAACATGCCTGCCTACACAAGTCCACTGGCCATATTCACCTGAAGTGGCGAGACTGCAGGACACATAAGACAGTTTTTATTACTGACAAGTTCAGACGAATGTCCAGAGTTAGATTAGAAATACAAAATAGAAAGACATTTTATCATCATGGACCAATATTAACTTCAAAGGACCCCTAGGGCTTATCAACCTTCATTGAGATGAGCAAAAGGTGAATTCTACACTGAGATAGTCTAAGGCAGTGGTTCTCTACCTCCCTTATGCTGAGACCTGTTAATCATGCTGTGGTGACCCTCCAACCATAAAATTATTCTGTTGCTACTTCATAACTGTAATTTTGCCACTGTTATGAATCATAATGTAAATACGTGTTTTCCAATGGTCTCAGGCAACCTCTGTGAAAGGATCATTCAACCCTATGGGAGTAATGATCCATGGCTGAGAACCACTGGTCTCAGAACTTAGGAGGCAACAGCAGGTATGAGGTGGTAGCATTTGCTGTTGGTGTGCCTGGATCACCCCTTCAAACCCTATAGGTAAAACACAACCTTAGATCTGAACACCAGCATGGCACAGGGGTCCACAGAACACACAGCCAGTGGCCACCATGCATGAGTGTGCTCTAAGGAGCATGGTTGACGGAGCTATGCTGGTGGTGGATTACAGATTTCCAGCAGGGCCTCTGGGAAGCTGCCTATGAACAGGGCTCACTGGCATCTCTCAGATGGGTCGTTGGTGACCTTGAGGCAATAAGACATTCTCCACCCCACTTCCCTGAGTACTAGGAATTATATCTATTACTGTAACAGCAAGAGGTGCCAGGAGCTTTCAAGGTGGCACCGAGTCACCCACAGAATATATTCTGAAAGGTTCCTTGTATAAAGTTAATTATGATCAGCCACCTACTGACTGACCCATTTCACAAATACAAGTGACTCCCACATGCTAAGCCCTCTACCAAGGTAATAATTAGACTGAAATGTAATTTTAAAACAATACTCATAAAGCATATTGAATTCCTTGGGGGAAGAGCAGAATATCCTCTGGGTAGAGAGATGGCTCAGCCATTAAGGTTAAGAGGTTAAGAGCACTTGCTACTCTTATAGAGGACCCAAGTTCAGTTTCCAGCACCACATAGGGCAGCTTGCAACCATCTGTAAGGCCAACTCCAGGGGATCCAATAACCTCTTCTAGCCTCCATGGGCACCTGCACACACACATGTACATACACACATATACCTCGTTAAAACAAATTTAAAGAGCTTTACATCCATTAAATAATTTTAAAATGATATCTTCTGGTCTTTAAAAGAATAGAGGAACAGGTAATGATCCAGATATTTCTATTATCTCCCTACTTCAGAACAAAGACTTCAAGATCAAAGTTTATAGTTAACTGGTAATTGTATACTGAGCATGAGTATCACCATCTCCAAACATTTCATTTTCACAACAGAGTTATGTTACAACCTGGAGAGGAACTTCGACCAGCTTTCCTCTGAAGAACAGAAGAGAATCCTAGAATTCAGAACTGCTGTAAGAAGTTCAGTTAACTCTTATGAAGATGAAGTTGAGGCCATGGGGTAAGGAATGACCGGGGTCCTCATGCCCATCAATAACGCACCAAGACAGAACATGGGGTTCCCGATGACCAAGACGTACTTTCATTAGTTAGGATGTTGTGTAGGTTTTGCCTAAAGCCCATCTCAATTGCACAGGCTAATCTTCCTGTCTGAAGCCTTTTTTGAAATCTTCCTCACCCCACAAGATGACAACTCCATCCTTCTAAATGCTCAGTCCCTAACTCCCCGCCATCCTTGATCCCCCTCTTTCTATTTTACCCTGTAATGAGTTCACTGGCAAACTGTCAGCTCTGACCTCCAAATGCTCAGAATTCAATTAGAGTCAAGCCTCTGCACCCTCAGACCCAAATCTGCAGTTGTGCAGATCTCTTACATCACATTGTCCATGCACCTCTTTCCATATATTCTGCAGATTGCTCACAACACCCAATACATTGCAAATGTCTTGTGAATAGCTTTATACCATACTGTTTATGGAACAATGACAAAAGAGTCTGTGTGTGTTCAGTACAGACAGTTTTAATTCTATGTAGTATCTAGGTTGGTTAGATCCATGAATGCAGAACTGGATACAAGGGACACTTCTCAGCACTCTACTTCCCATGGAGGGGAGGCTACTACAGTTGTTCTACCTGTTTGCCTTACCCTATTCCAGTATGTGCTGCACATGTCAAGGGTCATCCCACTGCAAGGTCAGCAGAGACCATCCCACTGCAAGGTCAGCAAGGGCCATCCCACTGCAAAGTCAGCAGGGACCATCCCACCGCAAGGTCAGCAGGGACCATCCCACTGCAAGGTCAGCAAGGGTCATCCCACTGCAAGGTCAGCAAGGGTCATCCCACCACAAGGTCAGCAGGGACCATCCCACCACAAGGTCAGCAGGGGCCATCCCACTGCAAGGTCAGCAAGGGTCATCCCACTGCAAGGTCATCAGGGACCATCCCACTGCAAGGTCAGCAGGGACCATCCCACTGCAAGGTCAGCAAGGGTCATCCCACTGCAAGGTCAGCAGGGACCATCCCACTGCAAGGTCAGCAAGGGTCATCCCACTGCAAGGTCAGCAGGGACCATCCCACTGCAAGGTCAGCAAGGGTCATCCCACTGCAAGGTCATCAGGGACCATCCCACTGCAAGGTCAGCAGGGACCATCCCACTGCAAGGTCAGCAAGGGTCATCCCACTGCAAGGTCAGCAGGGACCATCCCACTGCAAGGTCAGCAAGGGTCATCCCACTGCAAGGTCAGCAGGGACCATCCCACTGCAAGGTCAGCAGGGACCATCCCACTGCAAGGTCAGCAAGGGCCATGCTACTACAACAGGCATGTGATGAGTCCATCCTCCTCGGCATCACCCTTTTCCTACCCATGGCGGTTGAGGTGACAGCTCCAGTCACTCATAAGTTCCTATATAATTTGGCTTCTCCACGCCCTGTCTTCTTCCCTGCTGTCCCTCGCTTGCTCTGTAAGCCTCATGGTCCTCTTTCTTTCCTCAAACAGCCAAGCACTCTTCCATTTAAGGGTCTTGTTCTTCCTGTCCCCATGGACCTCTCATCTCTCAGGCTGGCAGTGAAGAATGCCCAGGGGTGGATGCTTGGGACATTCACCCGAACCATATGGTTAGGCACTGCCCAAGAGAAATATAAAACCATCCATAAATGTTATTTAAAGTGTTCCAGCTGCAGTTTTTTTTTAAAAAAGTAAAAGAAAAAAAAGGAGCCTGGGAAACTAATCATAATAATATATTAAACCCGATATATCCAAATTTTTGTCACTATGATATGAGATCAAGATGAAAAGGTTCCTGAGATATTTTATATCCTCTTAATTTTTTATATTGAATCTTCAGAATAAATGAATACATTACAGAGTACCTCATTTCAGGACAGACATGATTCCAATGGATGTTCCACAGGACATCACAGGTATTGAATATGTACATGCGCACCTGAGACCTGTGTATCATTTATAAATAAAGCCACCTAACTAATATAACTAATACTCAGACTAGACATCTCACATTTAATAACATTACACATGTGTGGACTTCATTCAGGGACTAACCCATAATGAACAGAGCGGGGAAAATCATAACACTAAAGCTGGAATCTGAGACTCCAATCGTGTTATGTCTTTAATATCTGTGTGTGTGTGTGTGTTCATGTGTGTGTGTTCATGTGTGTGTGTTCATGTGTGTGCATATTTGTGTGTGGTGGGGTGCATGTATGTGTGGAGGTCAGAGGTCAGCGTCACATGTCCATACTCAGGGTTCATTCCAACTTCTGTTTGAGAACGGAGCTCTCACCGACCTGCAACTTTGCCAGGTGAGCTGCCCCAGGGCTTGCAGGGCTCCACCTCTCTGCCTCCCATCTTGCCCTTTCTGGGATCTTAGGGTGCATTACTCTGTCCAGCTTCCACATGGGCTCTAGGGATCTGAACTCAGGTCCTCGGGCTTGGAAGGCGAGCACTTTAAGGACAGAGCCATCTCTCCAGCCCTGCAGTAATCGCAGACATGGAAACCTATCTTCTAGTCTTAGGCACAGTAACGCACTCGAGTTCTGTGTACCAGATGAGATGGCCATACTCTGCTTGCCACAGTAACGGGGCTGGTGATGCTGGCAGCAGAAACTGACGCAGGACAAGCACTGGCTCAGTGACGCAGAAACGAGGAGGAGGAGGAACACAAGCTCACCTAAACTTGTAGCTTTCTCGCTTATTGTTCACAAATCCATCCGCCAGATCTCGGGGCAAGAGAATCTCCAAGCTAGGTGTTAATTTTTCATCTTCTTCTATGGAATAAATCTGCAAATACAAGAACAACAGGTGAATATAAATGGTAAAATTCCAGCAAGACCTCTGACCTGAATATGATTAGCATGGTAATGGTACAACAAAAATTGTACGTTTATGACAAAATATCACAGCACAGTATAATAACATTTTTCTTTGAACTGTTAGTGGGCTTAAACAAATGCATAGAACAAAACAAGAGTTATAACCTAAACTGATGCTTGTATTAGTGACTTTTTATTACTGTGATAGAACACCATGACCAAAGCAACTTATGCCAGAAAGAGTTGATTTTGGCTTGTGGTTCCTGTGGGAGAGTCCATAGTGGCAGGGGGAAGGCCTGACAGCAGGCAGCCAGAGCAGGAAGCTGAGAGATCACATCTTCACACACAAACGTGAGGCAGAGAGAGTGAACTGGAAGCGGGTGAGGCTATAGATCCACAAAGCCCAACCCAGTGACATACTTCCCCCAGCAAGACTCCAGCTTCTAAAGGCTCCATAATTTCCTCAAACAGGGCCACCAGCCGGAGACCAAGTATTTAAACATCTGAGCCTATGGAGGACATTCTCAAACCACCACCATGCTGTATTAAGGTTCTGACCATCTTTGGATGATCGAATATCCAAATTTGATGGTGTAAATACATCCTTGTCATTGAGAAGACCCTTGAAAGTTTTATGCTAAGCACTGCTTCCCCATTCTGGAGAAAAAGTTCACACTCTTGCTATAGCCCATATGCACTTCTGAGCATGTGTGAACCACAGACACAGAGTCCCAGTAGTGATGTCTGAACCTTCTCAGAGAGCTAACAGGGGTATCCAAGTTTGAGTTACATCCCCCCAAATCCCAAGCTTCAGGAATTTGATAAGTTGTGTGGTTTAAAAAGATATGTATGCATATCTTTGATGTCTTGTGCTCCCCACCACAGCTCAGCCACTACTTACTAAGTGACCTGGGAGGAATCACTTCCACTTTCCAAGCCGATGTGGAACTAGAGGCCCTAAGACAATGGTCCATTTTCTGATTCCTGTCTCCGTCACCTACTCTTTTATTTCTTGGCCAGGAAAATCAACACTCAAGGCTATAAAGAAAGCCTGCAATTTAAAGTCTACATGTTGAACCCAACTACCAGGTGTGTGACCAGCCACTGCTCTCAGAATCAAAGGTCCCTTATACATAAAGTGTGGGAAACAAAATCTCCAGGCTCCTTTGCAGAGTGCTTGGGGGTGGGGACGGATGATGTAATGCAAATGGAAGTATTTTGTAATGCACCATAAAAAGAAGATTTAAAAAGACTGCTTGTCTTTCACCAGGAAATAAAATACTTTCTTGCAGGCAGGACTTCCTGTTTAAGTTAGACTCATTTAGATGCATGATTAGAGGGTAGGAGTCATATTCCTACCCAAGGAAACCCTAAGTTTACAGAAAGTATGAATAATTTCCAAAGCAGATTTTTTTTTTTTTTTTTTTTTTAAATTTGAGACAGGGTCTCACTTTGTAATCCTGACTGGCTTGGATCTCTCTATGCTGACCCAGCTGGCAGAGATCCATCTATTGCCGCCACCAAACCCAAGTGCTGGGATTAAAGGCATGTGCCACCATGCCTGGCCTAAGCAGATTCTAACTGAAACATCTTACTTAAAAAACATGAAAAGTTCAGGTTAAAAAATCATTTTGTAAAATAAAATTTCTGAAAGCAGAAGAAGAAGGGGGGCATCTGAGGGTTCAAGGCTTCTGACTAGATTTTTTTTTTCTTAAGAGACATTACAACCAGCAATAAATGAATAAACAAACAAACAAGTCAATGGAATGATTCCTAATGATACTCTGTTATACTTCTAGACCAGAACCTAGCATAATCATCATGAGTCTTCATCCAGCAACTGATGGAAGCAGATGCAGAGACCCACAGCCAAACATTGCGCAGAGCTCAGGGGATCGTGTGGAGGAGGGGGAAGAAGGGTTGTAGGAGTCAGGGGGTGGAGGACGTCACAAGAACATGGTCCACAGAACCAACTAACCTGGGCTCATAGGAACCCACAGAGACTGAACCAACAATCAGGGAGCCTGCAGGGGTGTGACCTGGGTCCTCTGCATATATGTTACGGCTGTGCAGCTTAGTGTTTTTGTGGAATTTCTAACAAAGGGAACGGGAACCATCTCTGACCCTTTTCTTTGCTCTTGGAACCCTTTTTTTTTCCTACTGGGTTGCCTCATCCAGCCTTGATATGAGGGGATGTGCCTAGTCTTATTGTAACTTGTTATGCTGTGTTTGGTTGATATCCCCGGGAGGCCTGCCCTTTTCTGAAGGGAAATGGAGGAGTGGATCTGGGTAAGAGAATTGGAGAGGAGAAGGGACTGGGAGGAGAGAAGGGAGGGAAACTGTGGTCAGGATGTAATATATGAGAGAAGAATACGAAAAAAAAAATCTACCCTGTGGGGCAGGGCATTGCTAGTTTAACAGATAGTGAGTAAAAGGAGTGTGTATGACACGAACACACAAACCTGACAGGTGACACAGACTTTAAAAAATCTGTATCTTGGGTGGAAGCTGGTGATCTCTCTCAGTGGTTAAGAGTACTTGTTATTCTTCCAGAGGACACAGTGTTGGTTTCCAGCACCCACAGTCACCAGCTGTGGGGGATTTGCTGCTCCCTTCTGGCCTCAGAGGGTATCTGCACTCACTTTCACTTGCACATACCCACACACAGACACTCACACATAATTTAAAAAATATATCTTTACAAACAATTGGTATCTATCGATACGCAGTAATCAGAAAAGGGGGACTGGGGTAGCAAACGAATTCCCACCACTGTGCTTAAGACATTCTTCAAGGCATTGGGGAGTCCCTGAGAACTAGGAGGTGGCACAGTGCACGTGCTTCCCTAGCATCCAGATGGCCATGAGTTCAAACCCTCGCACTGCCACCACCAAAGAAAGGGGAAAAAAAGTCCTTTGAATCAGAAACGTTAGGCTAATAGGGTGGATTTCACAGTTCCTCTCTTTGTGTGTGTGTGTGTGTGTGTGTGTGTGTGTGTGTGTGCATGTTGATTTTGAGATAGGGTCTCAGTGTAAAGTCCTGACTATCCTGGAATTCACTATGTAGACCTGACTGGACTTGAACTCACAGAGACACACCTGCCCCTGTCTCCCTATACTAGAATTAAAGGTGTGTGTCACCTTACCCAGATTATTTTTTTTTAATGACAACAATAACACCAGGGTCTCATACAGTAGTAGCCAACACTACTGGAGTTGCCTGGAGCTCACTATGGGGCCCAGGTTGACCTCAAACCCACAACAGTCTTCCTGGCTCAACACCCCCTGATCTAACCACCACCACTGAGTGCCGGGATCGACAGGTAAGTGCCCCCAGGTCTGGCCTAATCTATAAACTGGTACAGCTGATTTTTTTATGGCTCAAGGAGTTAGATGGATGCAGCCTCGGAACTGCTCCTGGTTTTGTACTGTAAATAGCATTCACAGTCAGACAGCCGCGAAGCTTCCAGGGCTAAGAAGAACCCGCGACGGTGGAGCTTCTGAAGTACACTAACTAGGTATGTGTCAATTCCTGTTCTCTGCTGCTTGTGCTTATAGCATAATGAGCTTCTATGACAATCATGAAAGCGTGATGTGACATCTGAGCTTACTTCCTGGAGGACCACACAACCCATTCTGTGTTCATCAAGAAGGGCAAAGAACAGTCAGGCTGGCCTTGAAATCAGGGGATTTCCCTGCCTCTCTGCCTGTCGACTGCTAGGATCCACATGTGCAATCAAATGTTCTTGTTACCATGAGTAGACTTGTATTTCTTGTTTAATCGAACTTTGGACTGCAATAAAAGCCTCAACCACACCAAAATGCTTTAGCACATACCAAGACAGCTCTCTCTTTTGGAGGCAGGGTCTGGATACATTGTTAGGTGGGGTTACTTACAGTCCTATGCCACCAGCATAGCTTTGTATTTGTCCTTCTTGCCCCAGTTTCTTGAATTTGAAGAGGAAGAAACGATCTAACACAAGTTAAAGACCATCTGGCTCCCCGTCTGCTTCAGCAAAACAGTCAGCATTCACAGGAAAAGCCTCTACTGGTGACCCACACCTGTAACTCCAGCATTTGAGGGGTAGAGGCAAGGGTATTGGGAGTTCAAGGCCTCTAGAGCTCCCAGTTCTCGCCTGCCCACGTCCTCACCGTAGCAGAACTTGACTTTGGCTGCCAAGCAATCCAGAGGTCAGAGTCACACGTGCTTTGAAGGATCTCCGCAGGGAACTGCAGGGAGAGGTAGGAGCAGAGATGCCCATAGTCCTCTCCCTACTGTTTTATTTCTTTAAACAAATATGACTAATATTGGGGCTGGAGAGATGGCTCAGTGGTGAAGAGCACTTACTGCTCTTACGAGAGGACCAGGGTTCTATTCCCAGCACCCATGGGGGCTCACGACCATTTTTAACTCCAGTTCCAGGAGATCTGATGCCCTTTTCTGGCTTCTGCAGGCACTGCATGCATGTGGTACACATATGTACATGCAGGCAAAACACTTGTACATATAAAATAAAAATAAATAAAATTTTTGAAATGACTAATATTTTTCTCTGGGGTCTTTTCTTACAGTTTCTTCTGAATGATCTTCATGGGATAAAGGCCACTGATGATGATGGCAGAGACATTATAATCTCCTTGTTTTAAGGACATAAATTGCCAGAGGCCAAAGCTAAATTATAAGATGCCATAATGTTGCACATTTGCATACATACAACACTGAAAAAGAATAGAAGTAAAACATTACTAATTAGACACTTCTTCTAGGCATTCATAAATATGAACCAAATTGCCTGAATACTCACTTTGGAAGTCAGGGAAAAGGTCTTTGGGGGTTTTGTTTTGTTTGTCTGTAGAGGAAATGTAAGTTTCAAAATCCTTAATTAAAATTAAACTCGGCGCCTTGCACAAATAAATAAATAAATAAATAAATAAATAAATAAATAAATAAATAAAAAAGACCTGAGGCTGGGCGGCAGTGACACACGCCTTTAATCCCAACACTGGGGAAACAGAGCCAGGTGGATCTCTGTGAGTTCGAGGCCAGCCTGGTCTACAGAGCGAGATTCAGGACAGGCACCAAAACTACACAGAGAAACCCTGTCCTGAAAAACCAAAAACCAAACAACAAGAAGAAAAGACCTGAAAGGGGGAGGGGACTTGTTGGGAAGCAGGTTTGTGTGGAAAAGGTAGAAAGATGAGAGAGTGAAAAAGCAATTAAAAGTCTTGGTACAAATGTAAAGTTAAAAACTAAATTAGAGGCAGGAGTGGTGGCCCGTGCCTTTAATCCCATTACTTAGGAAGCAGAGGCAGGTGGATTTCCTGTGGTTTCAAGGCCAACCTGGTCTACATACTGAGTTTCAGACCAGCCAGGACTACAAAGTGAGACCCTGTCTCAAGACAAACAAACAACAATGAATCAAGTTAATTAAACAAAGTCAGTTCCTGGGACTCACCAGCTGGACGCCCTGGCCTCTTAACCTACCACATGGCGTCTGCACGTGTGAAAGTAGGGCAGGGAGTCCCAGCAGAGGACCAACAATAAAGGGGAAAGGGGCCTGGCAGGTGGTGCTCTCTCCACACAGTCAGGACCAAGCTCACTCAGGAGGCAGAGAGGGGACCTCCGTCTTCACAACCTTTGCAAACTTCTAGATTTATTTAGCACACACCTCGGTTAAAATGCTTTCTGGGGGCAGGGAGTGTGTCCGGACACACAGCACATCTATTACGAATGCATGTAAAAAAAAAGAAAAGAAATCCGTGGACGTCACAGAACAGCAAAGCAATTAATTAGATAAGAAATCCCGCAGGCTGTAGCATGCCAAGGAAAGCACGTGTGCACGCTTGTCTGTAATTGTACGATTCCACTTAAGAGCGTGCATTACAATACTTGCACACCAGTTGCCCCATTGGGGACCCATCATCCCCAACTCCAAGCTGCATATGCAGGGTTGGGGGTGGGTGGGTACTGGCCTAGAAGAGTGCAAGGAGCGCCCGTGTGTGGATGGGGCACGGCGCAGGTGAGTGTGCAAACAGGTACACGTGCACAAGTGTGCACACCTGTGCCAGGTGCGGGGCTGAGGCTGTGAGCGAGCCCTGTCCACCCTCGGGGCTGCAGTCTCCGTGGTAGTCCCGCGCCCCGCCCCCCGCGCTGGGCCCCCACGCGCCCCACGCCCGACCCCGCGGCCCGTACCCCTTGCTGCTGCTTCCGTACGGAGGGCTTTACCCTAGCGAAAATCTGGATCGTCTGCTTCACCATCTCCAACAGAGACTCCGCACTGACCCTTGACCTCCCCAAAACTTCCTACTCCCACCTCCAGCGGAGACCCGCTGCCCTAGCAACAGTAACCAAGGATGCTACCCAAGCAGCACCGCGGCCAGCGGGATCCCGCCTCCTCCACCCTAATTGGTCATGGACTAAGAGGAAGGGCTAGGGGCGGGACCGAGCTGGGGGCGCTGCGCATGTGTGTGGGAGATGCTCCTGGGACTTGAGTTAAAGGGTTTGCAACCCCCAGCCTGGCCCCCTTCCTAACAACTCCTTCCTCATTCCTTAACTCCTTTAGTCTCTGTGAAGTCAGTCTGCCGTTTATCACGCATTGAAATAAAGGCTTTTTTTGGTTGTGACTCCCAAGCTGTTCTGAATTCACTTGGAAATCATTGTGTGACAAGGCAGGTTCTCAACAGAAAATCACAACCGGAGGGCAAGGGCGGTGCTGAGTTCCCTGTGAAGAGACTGCTTCCCGTGTGAACGTCTAGAAATGAAGAGCTCCTGGGAGACAGCGTCTGAAAACGTGTCCCACCTCCACTCACTAGGAAAATGCAAATTAAAACCAAACATCAGTGCGGCTCAGATCGATAGTGGCTGAGAACTTTGTGATATATATATATATATATATATATATATATATATATATATATATATATATATATATATATATATATATATATATATATATCCAGGTGCCAAGGAAGACGGAGAGAAGAATCACTGGTGGCTTACTGGTGAGGTGGGTGCTGTAAAATGGTACAGACACTCTGAAAAAGAAAGTTTGACAGTTTTTGTTGACATTTTCAGACAGGATCTCACTGTGCATCCTATAATGGCCTCCACCTCACCATCTTTTTTCCTCAGAACCCCAAGTTCTGAGTGCACCTCCATTTCCACCTTCCATTTGTGTGTGTTTTGTTTTTGCCTTCCCAGAAAGCAGAAGGTACAGCTACTTTGAGAAAATTTGTCTCAGGGGAATAAAAACTTGTGTTCACAAGAAAATCTGTGTGTGTTTGCTTAATTGGTAATAGACCCTAACTGATGAACAGTTATGCAAACTTAGAATACTGTCTTCAAAGTATAGTGCAATAGAATGCACTATTGATAATATGTAACAACCTGAATGAACCACTTGCATTAAAAAAAAAAAAAGGAGTTAAATACTGTATATGAGTCCCTTTATACAACATTCTTGAGATGACAAAATTCCAGAGATGAGGCCATTAGAGGTCATCTCAGAGGCAGAGAGGGCAAGAGAATAAACAGACAGAAAAAGCCTGCAAGTCAAGTGAGAAGGAACAAGATTGGTGATGCTCTCAGGGTGACTGCCCTGGTCTTGATGTTGAGCTATCTAGTTCTGAAAGACGTTCCTGTTGTGGGAACTGGGGGAAGAGCACACAGTTATCTCTATTATATTTATAAGTGTAAATCTACAATTAGTTCCAAAATAAAGAGCTTTTTAAATGACATTCTTGAGCAATTGAATAAAGAGGCCAATCACAGATAGAGAACTTTTTATTTTTCAAAACATATAGTTAATAAAGGACATCTAGAATACATTTTTAACCCACTTTAAAATCCAGTCATAGGCAAGCAAAGAACCCAGGCTGGGGACATGGCTCAGTGACAGAGGACTTGCACAGCATGTGGAAGGTTGTGGGTTTGAGTCCCCAGCATCCTAAGGGAAAAGATCCAAATTGGGGTTCTGCAGAGAAGGCTCAGTGGTTACGATGGATGCTGCTCCCTCCCAAGGAGTGGAGTTTGATTTCCAACACCCATGTCTGGTAGCTCACAACCAGAATCTCCATCTCCCTGGAATTTAACGCCCTCTTCTGGCCTTTGTAGGCACCCTCACATATATGTACATATACATGAATAAATAAATCTTTTTTATTCGAATTTTAAAAAGATGGCACAAACATTTGAGGAAACACTTGATTCATGAAAAGGATTATGTGGCTGGCAAATAAATACATAAAGAGGATGGTGGATGTCATTAAAACCTCAATGGGACACCGCTGCACACATCGAAATAAGAAAGGGATATCGACAGTACCAAGTGTTGGCACAGATCCAGAGTATCTAGAACTTTCAAGTTCCATAGTGAGACAAGAAGATGGACACATCACTTTCAAAAGCAGCCTTAGAGTTCCTAATAAATCTAGGCAGGAATGTTTGTAGCAACTTCATTAGCAATTGCCAAAAAATGAAAACGAAATCTTTAGGCCAACAGATCAGCAGCCAGTGCAATCCATACAGTGAAAGAGTGGACTGAAGGCGCCCACAGCATGGCTAAGTCTCGAGTCTGGTATGCCCAGTGAAGGGCGCCAGCGTCCTTAGTTATGTGCAATCTAATTTCATTCATATGATATCCTAGATAAAGGAAAACTATACGGACACAAAACAGATGAATGGCTTCCAAAGGCTGAAATAGGAAGGGGAGTTGACTGCAAAGGAGCATGGGAGGCCTTGGGATGTCGTGATGGGATACACCTTTGAGCGTGTCTGTGAGGGGTTCTGAGGGGCTTAACTGAAGAGCTCTCTGAATGCAAGCTGCACAATCCCTTGGACGGAGATCAGATCCCGGACTGAAAGAAAATGAAGAAGGAAGCTAGCGTTCACCTCTGTCCTCTTCCCAGACCAGAAGGAAATGAAGAAGGAAGCTAGCGTTCCCCTCTGTCCTCTTCCCGGACCGGAAGGAAATGAAGAAGGAAGCTAGCGTTCACCTCTGTCTTCTTCCCGGACCGGAAGGAAATGAAGAAGGAAGCTAGCGTTCACCTCTGTCTTCTTCCCGGACCGGAAGGAAATGAAGAAGGAAGCTAGCGTTCCCCTCTGTCCTCTTCCCCGACCGGAAGGAAATGAAGAAGGAAGCTAGCATTCACCTCTGCCCTCTTCCCGATCTTCTGATGTGGGCCATCAGCCTCACCTCCTCTGCCACCACAGCCAGGCGCTGTTCCCACAGCTGTGCCTCCCTTCACTGCCGTGACGGACTCAAACCGTGCACTGAAATAAAAAGCTCTGCAAGCCGCTTCCTGCCAAGCATTTGGTCACAGTAACAAGAAAAGTACTGAATAAAACCTTCTGTGTATGTGCATATGTGTGTGTGCACATGTGCATGTGCGTGTGTGTGTGTACATGTGTGTGAAAATCATGTGACAACCTTGGCTAATATTCCCCAGGTGCTAATCACCTTGGTTTTTGAGACAACTTCTCCCTGGCCTAGAACTTAACAAGTAGTCTAGGCTGGCTGGCCAATGAGCCTCAGACTTCTACATACCTCTGCCTCCCCTAGTCTGGGATTATATGCACATGACACCACCCAAACCTTTTCTTTTTCCATATGTTCTGGAGCTAGAACTCAGGACCTCATGCATGTACAGCAAGCACTTTACCAACCAAACTATGTCCCCAACCCTGTGAATACAGCCTTGTAAAGAGCCGTTCAAGTGCTGAGAGACATATGGGAACTGGAAGCTGTGAGCCTCCTGGAGCCATGCTTGTGATGCAGACAGATAAAGACAACAGGCGTTGTGCTGGAACCCAGAAACTAGAGCATCTAACGAAAAGCATTCACAGTCCAAATGGTTAATGCACAATGTTGCCTGAAGACAGGCTATGCATGGCCAGCAGTTCAAACCTGTTCCCCTTTATGGCATAAGAGGCTCCCAGGCCATGCCTCGGACTGCTCGTCTGTAATCCACAGCAGATGGTTGTAATGGGTACACACTGGGTTTCGTGATTAAATCTCCTCGCTTCCTTGTCTTGCCCCCACCTGGATTTCTACTCAGTATTCTTACTTGTACTTTGCCTTGTTTAGATGTAGTTGAGATGTTACTTAATTGTTAAAGACCCTTGAGCTCTGCAGTTGCCCAAGCCACAGATGGCCACACCAAGCCAATGAACCGGGCCTTCTCTGCCCCCAAATGTGTAAGAATTAAGCCAAGCCTGCAGCAAATTAGTCCGTAGGCAAGTTGGTTCGGCTCCATCTGCCTGTTGGTCTTGTTTTGCTTTTTTAGAAAAAAAGTTGCTGCTCTAGCACTGGTTTCAACTGCCTCCTCAAGCTGTTGGTACTCCAACCATAAAATGCATCACTTTATTTCACACAACTCAAGAGGGACCAGTAAAAAAAATTGTAGGCTGGTAATTTTGACATACAATATGTACATACAGTTATCAAATTGCAGTAAGCTTTCTCCTTTCTTATTTTTAATTTATGGTTTGGGAATTTCATACAGGCATATATTGTGTTTTGATCAAGTCTACCCTCCACTTTCTCCCCTCCGACTCTTCCCATACCCTCACCTCTCTTCCCTCCCAACTTCATGTCATCTTTTTGCTCATTTGTTTTTAAACCCATAGGTCCTCTTAGTGAATCAAGTATGTGAATGGGTATAAGGCCATCCACTAGAACCTGGGGCAACCTGTCAGGGGCCAAATCCCTAAAGAAAGCTGACTGTCCTGTCCAGCAGCCATCAGTTGTCACTAGTTCCTCTGCTCACTGTGGGACCTCTGAAGCCCCTGCCCACTCCGTGTTGGAGTTTGACTGGCTTGATCTTGTGGAGGAGCGACACATAACAGTATTTTCTGAGCATGATGGGGTCATTGTACAGATGCCTAGAAATATCTTCATGACCACCCCAACTGTTCACTTCTTTTCAGGTGGACAGTTTGCTAAGACCCACAGTGATGGTTTCACTAACCCCATCCCAGGTCTCCTGTTCAGAACTTCCTCCACAAAGCAAGCCAATAAAGAGAATTCCCTGCTTATTAGTAGATAACAGTATCAATAAGACTGCAGTCATTTGATACGAACTGCCTTGCTAGCTGACAATGTCCGAAGCACAGTCCCTGAGTGTTCGGAGTAAGCATTTGCTGGAAAGTAGTAGAAAGATGCAGAAGTCACAGGGGATCAGTAGGGGACATTTTCCTTAGGAATCTCCTTAAACTCAGCTGCCTCCATCTATCTTGTGGGTGGTCAGGACCAGCGGAGCCCTTCACCTCCCCCAGTCTCCACGGGGCATTTGCCCATTGTTTCTGAACGAATGGAGAATACACACAGCAATTTCTGGTACTCATTAAATGCTGAA